AAACACACGTCGTAGAACTAACCCTAAAATAATAAAAACAAAGTTACGTCAAAACTAACGTCCAGTGTCACTAACATGAACTAGAAATACAAATTTTGAATTAACAATGTTATAAGAAGTCGACTTGAGTCATATTTAATATATGGTCGTACTGCATCTAAGTAGGTTATTTTTTCATAAAGCAAAACAGAGCAATATTCCGGCCAACCGTAGCCTTAGGTCTGAGGAGAAAATTACAGCATTAATGGTGCTTTGGAGGGTATTGAATTGTTCTAAAATCTAATGCAAACTGAGATTTATATTTTTTCGTTAATTTTAAAGGTAAATTCGTCATTGTTTTAATATTCAACACAACTTATTATCTATTTTTACTTGATCCTGCAGATTGTCGTAAGCTAATCAAAAGATTAGTTATAACTTTTGTTTTGTGAGGTGAGGGTGGTAACAATGCCTAGCACGCATGCGCCCCTAATCACTCTGATCAGTAGTACCATAGATTAAACGAGTATGTTTAACCTATGGTAGTACCATAGATAAAAGGAGTATAGACATATTTTAATCTATGGTAGTACCAAGCCCGAGCCAGCATAGTGCAGTGGCAATACGCTGCGTCCCACTTGGGCGCTCGTCAACATCCCTACAGCCTACTCCCGTACAACCAATGTTCGTTACCAATTTTGTAACGAAATTGATGCGTAATTCAGTAAAATAGTTTAAATTTCCTAACAATTATTTCTTCTTAAGAACTTCAGAATCACAATTCATTGGAGTTTTTTTTTTTTTTATCAACTATGACTATTTATAGCCTAGGTATAAAAAAATTATTCTCGGCCGTGCGCCCTCTGGGACCTTGCGCCCATAGGCCCGGGCCTACCGGGCCTATTGGGAAATCCGGCCCTGCAACTGATCAAAATGTAAACAATTACGTTCTTTATAACTTGAGAAAGATTGGTCCTGCAAAAAATATTGTATAGCCTAAATCGCATCAATATTTGAGCATCATGAAATGTTATTATATCATTGTCTAAACAGTCCCATTTGGTAACAAATGATTCCAACTCCCACAACACCGGGGCAGCACCGTGTCGGTGTCCTACCGCGGTGTCATGTCGTGCAGTGTGAAAACGGACATTGGCGGAGAGGGGAAACATACCCTCCCTCGCCGTTACCTAAAAATTTTGCGCAGGTTGTTTTCTAAGCGGCTGACCTATATTATGTTATTGTACATTATACTGTTGATATGTTGAACTATTAACAGGAGTGAAACAATAAGCTATAATTTGCTGATTTTGCAACAGTATGACAAAAAGTATACTGTATTATGTTTTAGAAAGAAGGAGACTCCTCATGTTTTAGCTCAAGAAACCTTTTACAGTGTCAGTCTATGAAACAACCATTGATTAATTTGTTTCTATTAGGTTATCAAACATAGGATATTCACCTGCGACTTAAGTGTTGGAGGAGGTTGACGTAGTGCAGGCTACAGTTGCGTTACTTCCCTCGATAAACTTTTGCTACGATTGACTGTCACCTCAGTGATATGACTGCAACAAGGAATGTCAAAATGTTAGACGTACAACATACTTACTATTAAATAATTATACTACTATTAATGCTATTACTTTAATTCAAATGGCTCTGCCGTTGGTATGTACATATAAATAAATAAATAAATTCTTTGATATCAAACCAAACAAGTCTAGAGTGTCCTTTCTCTTGTTGTTGAAAAATTAAAAACATTTTTGCAATATTGAAGACAATTTTGTTAAAAATTACTATAATATTGCTTATTTGTTCATCATAACTGAACATTGATATTATATTTTATTTAATTATTTAAAAAATCAAACAAAATTACCTTAGCACTTATTGCAAGAGGTGGAGCTTATGTGATCTTCGTGTAGAAAGTTCCAAGATATCAGAAAGAACTATACGAATTTCCATTGATAGATAAGTCGCTCAATACAATTTGAAAATCTAAAACAAAGTCTAAAAAGACAAGATTTAGAAAAGGACAAGAGTTATATAAATTACACTAGAACCTATAAGAGTAATTATTTTGTTCCTTTTCTCATACTTAGTTTTGTTGGATAACTTTTTGTCTCTACTCTACTAGTGTTTGCTGTAGATTTCTCTACTAAAAATTTGGCTCAGAAGATATGAGTTCCAAACTTTTTCTTTCACTATGATATCACAATGTTTGTGATTTTTTTTATAGGACAGGACCCAGAAAACTTGCAAACTGCAGAATCATAGAACTGCATAAATCATAGTCCCGTGTATCGGTCCGTTCCAGGGTAAATAAGGAATTGTTGACTACTTGTCGTATTTCATAACCTTTCCAAGCCAAAGTACCCCTTCATTTCTGCGTAGTTCATATCATCACTATATGTGTTTTAACAACTTTGATAACTGCTATTGCAATTCTTTTTAGCCATTATGTCAAACAACCAGTTCTAGTTGACCAGTATTTCTTCTGTGTGTATCTAAGAATCAATCTAAAGGGTGATTGCCAAAGACCCACCCTATATAAAAATAAAGGTTATACTTTTAGTATGACAGTTACCAAAAACCTGCAAACAGGGGAATCCAGATTGCTGCTTCCTTCACACTATCAAGTCTTGAATCACCTTAGTTTTAAGATGGTACGGTTGATCTTTATTAACGGTTCATAACTCGTCCAGGTGAGGTATTGACAGTGAGATATCTGCAAAAAACAATGTTTTTAACTATTACTTCCGAATAATTGAAAAACTCAAACCAATTTTTTTACATGATTACAAAAGTAGTAATTACGTATGTATGTTTCACTGAAAAGACTATTGTGAAATTCATTTTTGCTAAGTATATGAAAAAGCGAAGCAGAGGTTGGAAAATACAATGACTGTAGATGCGATAATCCATGGTGTTGATTAACGTCCGCACTATATTGAGTACTACGACTACCCACAGTACTATCCTAATGATTATACCAATTCGTTAATACCAAGGCAAGAAATGTGGTTTGGATTCCACTTTAAACTGTAGGTCCCTTAGTTGCCATTATCTGTTTTGGCTATTAGTTAAAAGCTGTGTCTAAGGAATATGTCGGCCGTAGTCATAGGATATTCACCTGCGACTTAAGTGCTGGAGGAGGTTGAGGCAGTGCAGGCACAGTTGCGTTACTTCCCTCGATAAACTTTTGATATGATTGACAGACACCACAGTGATGTGCCTGCAACAATAAACATCAAGAGGTTATACTAACAACATACTGTTGAATAATTATACTACTATTAATGTTTTTACTTTAATTTTTTTATATCGAATCAAACAAGTCTAGAGTGTCCTCTCTTATAGTTGAACAAAGTATAAAAAAGTATAAAATCATTTTTGCGATTTTGAAGATCTTATTGATTTAAATTAGGTCTACTATAATATTGCTTATTTGCTCATAACTGATTATTACATTTGTATAACATTGTATAAAAAATTGACTTGTCCTATTTCTGTACAAACAGATCAATGGAAATAAAATATTCTTATTCTTATGAATGAATTGATTCAATTCTTGATGTATCCCATCGCTATAGGGTAATTAGTTGTATCATAGTATTAAATAAATTACGTTTCCACCATGTTCTGTGATTAGTTTGATTGGTCTCAGTCGTCAACAGCTGTTGATGCTCGTTGCCAATCCATAGAGGAGTGATTGTCCTATCCTTACCTTACCTTACCTCCTTGGCCACTCAAACCTAAAAAGGTTTTTGGCCTTGTCAACAAGTTGTCTCCACTGAGTACAGGGAGGCACCCAGTGTCCCCTTATATGAGAAACAAATCAGCTCAATATAGCAAGAGCCTCAAAAACCATCAGAGACCTTTTACAGTGACCATGTATGTATTTAACAACTATTGATTTCTGTGATTCTAATAGGATATTGTGTGTTGGATAGTCACCTGCAAAAAAAGTGTTGAAGGGGGTTTACAGTTTACATAGAACTGGATACAGCTGTGTTAAATGGCCTTGCTACGCGTTTGCTAAGATTTGCAGATTAAAGACAGATTAAGTTTCCAGGGTTGTCGTTTGCGTGCAACGTTAAACTTGGACACATTTGAATGTGTCCAGATTCGTCGAGTCGTGCAACGCCACCCCTGGACAACTTATAAACGTGTCCAGGTTCGTCGTTTGCGTGCAACGTTAAGCTTGGACACATTTGAATGTGTCCAGTTTCGTCGTGTCGTGCAACGCCACCCCTGGACAACTTAAAAACGTGTCCAGGTTCGTCGTTTGCGTGCAACGTTAAACTTGGACACATTTGAATGTGTCCAGTTTCGTCGTGTCGTGCAACGACGAATGTGGACATTTGTCTTAAGTCTCTTGTTTTGGGACCTGACTGTATATTCTACCTGTCAAAGTCCATTGTTTGGGATTTCGACCAAGGCCCCACTAGAAAACACGCCATGCTGAAGGTTCATGACATCACACTAGTGGATGGATTCACTGCAATATCCCATATGTTTTAGGTAATAAAGCTGGCTGTTTTCAGATTTTACGGTTACATTTTCGTACAACTATCCACCACTGTGACGTAGTGTTGCATATAGTCGGTATTTTTGCATAAATAAAAGTAAACGAATATTTTCTATTCCCTACGGACGGAAAAACTAACACTTGCTCGGAAAACAACACATGTGTGTAGTATAAGTCTACTTTTTAATCTGTGAATAGTAAGACAACTAAATCGCTGAACGTTAATATTTCGTGCTTGGTTACTGGCGCATGTCTGGAACCGCCTTTAGGATAAAGAAAACGCATCCCTCAGGCTTTTGTTTTGCATTATCCATGTTCGTCGCCAATCTTTCAGATCAGTTAAACTATACTTTTTCTGTTTTCATAGCTTAGTATTATTTTTAATTTTCTGTATATTATGGATTAAATATGAATGAAATAATCATGACACTATTAATAAGATTACATATACGTCTTACGTTGTCAATCCTAATATAGTTTCGGGCGACTATTTCAAAATATCTGTTTGGTTTTCAAGCCTCTTCATTTCACATAAAACTATTTTTGATTGGAATGTGTGTATTAAGACCAGCCTTTCTATTTATTAGCAGGTAAATATTTTATATGTTGTCCATACAGTATTATCATTTTTAAAGCTGCACCATATTATAGGCCTTAAGACTTGATGTTATAACGGTTAATCACATATTTTATAGTTTATTGGCCTATATTTAACATCGGATTTCCTCTACCAATTAGACGCATCATACAGTTTTGTGTTAGGCCAAAAAAGGTTACGTTCATTCAAAACTAATGAATTCCACTGATAATAAATCTACTGTCAGAAATAAGTATTTTTGTATACATAAAACTGCAAATAAACACTCCGAAGACTCTAAGATGTGATTTTCTGCTGTATAATGTATTTTCTAATGCTGATTTTAAGGACTTGCAAAAAAATGTCATAGTCTTTACTTTATGCTCTTGAGTCTGGAGCATATTTATACAAGTGTTAAGAGGTTAGTTTTCTTACTGAATCTCATTAAAAATATGTCTAACGAAAATAAAACAATCATGTTTAAGGTAAACTAAACTATTAATCTGGAACTCTAGTTCACCTATAAAACATATACCTTGCTTTACGTGTAAATCATGTTTATTTAAGACTAGCTAAGTACCCGTTCTACGCACGGCGATAGTGTAGTCCTCACCATTGAACACTTTATCCAATTTGACATTTCCATTAACAAAAGTGCTCTTGACTTTTTTGTGAAACACTGAGTAATAAAGACATTAATGCGTCACAAACAGACATACACACGAAAATGCAGAATTTAATTAGTTAAGGAATTTGCTACAATTTAACCATAGCAAAGTACATATAAAATCAGTAAGCGCCGTCAATGAGTGGAAACCTAATTTGTGTAAACTAGTGACGACAATGATTTAAAAAAATGTAAGTTTCCCAGCCCTAAACAGCACTGATTCAAGGTTTTTCCCGGTTATCAAAAATCAGGAACAATTTGATACACAATCTCCGGTTCCTGACCTGGATGATGCCAAGTTATTTAATTTCATTTGCGGTTACACATTATTGCACTTGCGATTAATTAAATCCGTTATGTAAGGAAAATTTTTTTAAATGTCACTTGGTTTGGCTTTTATTTCAAAACGTGTTTGAAATTGTTGCGGTATTTGTAAACAACATAATGTAAACATATCAGTTACAGCTATATTTACAAAGTAGTGAGGCCATATTTTATTGGCTAAAGACACTCACGCTAACCCCGTGAATACATTAAAATGATTTGAATCTTGATTTTATGTACTCTCGTTTTTCCGGAGATGGCCGCGTAAAATGCCTTCTGGGCCGTGACAGACAGACAGAAATTGAGATAAGACTTGTTTCGGCTAGATTAATGTATAACATGTAAAAGTAACAAAAAAAATATATAATTCAGAGAAAAATATAATTTTATTTGTATCAATTTGTCAGTATTATTTGTTCTGTGATCATCAGACGAATGTCTGTCCTCTCTACTATGTTTATTTAGTATATTGGCTCGATTGTAAAGGTATGGTATGATTAATAGTTTTATTTACTTTTACGTCATTTTGTAACCATCATGGCTACCCACAAGGTCAATGTTACAATTTAAAAACTTTGAGTTACTTTTACATTATATAGGCATTATTAGAAATTGAGATTGTTTCGTTAAAAACTTTCCAAACATTTGTCGGAAAACCTTGGTAAGTTTGGCAAAAATATGTTTAGCCGTTATTGAGTTTGATAGTGTTACAAAGTTTTACATTGAAGCTGATCCCAAAGAGCTTTGCTTCGCTCCGCTCAGTTATTAGAATCGAACTAGTAAACCTCTGGTTTACATGAATCCTGTATACAAAATAATAATTTCATCCTAATATTATCGGTCCACTTTATATAGATTATCAGGTTATTGTTAATTGACCAGAATCATCAAAATATATTACATTGTTAAGACTGACTGACTAATAATGCACTCTGATTCGGATTCTTTGACCCTTAACGAGTTATTTTTACCTGCGAGTCTGTGACATGAGTTAGATATGTACCAATTACGTTTGCCTAGGGGTTTTAGTATGTACATATTACAAAGTATGTAATATGTAAGATGTAATATGAGATTTAGTCTCAAATGCAACATCTGTTATGATCTGGAACTAAGATTATATTTTCCACTACAATTTTCTTACAAATTCTAATAACCAAAAAGCTTTTAGTATTTTGTTAGCCATTTCATGACTGACACTTTTGTATGCTGAGGTGGCCACTTGGCAATGGTAGGTTTAAACTACTAGGTGGTGTTTGCAGAAGCATCCACAAAATTGAGCGGAATCATCAAGGGTTCATAATATATTGTTTTTGTCATACTACATAAAACAGTCGTTTTTAATGCATGCGTTGCGGGTCTTAAGTAGCATTTTTACTCTTTAGGGAGTAAGAATCATTTTTAGCCTCTATGGAGTAAAAATCAGCTGTTATCAACTCAGTTGTAAATTTCTATTGTAAACGATTGCATATATCGAAAATATGTATCGATTCGTGCTTCGTAACCATTTTAACCTACAGTCTACAGTCTCTTCCCATAGCATTTTAGCATTGCAGATACATTAATCAATTCCCACACTCAACACTGCTCACCTTTATTACTTCCTTCACCACCCCCTACGTCCGTGCTATATCCGTGATTCGCAACGAGAGAGAATATGTTCCATAGATATACATGGATGAAAAGAACCAACGAATAAATAAACACAATTTCGATAGATCAGCAGCCTGATCTTTTTCAAATTACTTTTCGTATAAATTTATACGATATAATGAAATAAATTACGTTATACATTTGAAAATTCCAATATTAAGCGTATTCATATGAATAACGTAGAAACTTTTAAGGCAGGCAGGGCAGAGCCCTAGGAGAGTACTCTTATGGAGAATAAGTGAACTGTTGTTGTTTGCTTGTTTATAAACAAAATTTGATCAAATTTGGAAAATGTATTTATTTATACTATACTGTCAACATTGAACCATAAAAACACCTTACAGCCTTCCCTGTAGCAGCATACATAAAAACTCGTTAAACTAATGTTATAGTAATAGGGAATAAATATTTCATTTTTAAGGAGATATTTTATTGACAACACAGTCAGACTAAAGTAAAGTAGCAGGTTCGTTGTGGCGGAGGTAGTTATAGTTCTGTAACGGTTTTGCAAAGTATTACCCGTAGTGGATTCACTAACGATCTCAAATACACACCTGATATGTTGTTATTGTGTATCACTGCTATTTTGCTGCTTTGTTCAAATAATCCTCAAACGAATCAAAATTATTATTTCAACCTATGTAGGTACGATATGTTGATATGTGATCGTAGGATACGATAGACTGCACATTGTGAAACAGGTTTAGTCGAGCAGGATCCATTTACACATAATTAAATAATCCATAACAATTTGACTGCTCTATTGCAGTTGTTTCGCCACGAAAACGTTAAAATCTAAGGCATCTGTTTGCTTCATTTTGTTAGTTTATTCATGTTAGAGGTTGACGACTGATACGTTCAATCATTGAAAACCCAAGGACAAACCCCCAGACAAAAACACTCCACATATTTCGTTTCTATAAACCATTAACAAATTTTGATTTCAGCCGCAGCTCCATATTGCAAATGTATGTTTTGAAGATTCAAACGTGCCAAAAACAATGGACAGCTAATTACTATTGAAGGGCACTAAAAATCACTTAAATATGGCAGTTTTAAAATGAGCCTTAATTAACTTTTCTACGACACTTAGCAACGTATATTGAACAAAAGCTGTAGATTTGAACCATCCATTTGGGACACGGTGTCATAGGTTTTAATTTTTATTAATATCCAGCAAACATTTACAACGATCAAATAAACATGCAATTAAATTTCCAAATTTATAATGTGCAATGTGTTTCGCGGACTATGAGTCACTACAACACAGTGTATTAGTAACAGTGTGTTAGAAAGAAGCCTTGTAACAATAAGGCGTATTCACGGCATTTCTGTTTTAGGAAGCTCATTCAGAGTTTACCAACCGAGCGAAACTATGAATTTGATGAGCCTGGTGTACAGTCTGTTCAAAAACTAAGAGTGTCCAGGTTCGTCGTTTGCGTGCAACGTTACCCTTGGACACTTTTGAATGTGTCCAGTTTCGCCGTGTCGTGTAACGCCACCCCTGGACAACTTAAAATCTTGTCCAGGTTCGTCGTTTGCATGCAACGTTAAACTTGGACACATTTGAATGTGTCCAGTTTCGTCGTGTCGTGCAACGCCACCCCTGGACAACTTAAAAACTTGTCCAGGTTCGTCGTTTGCATGCAACATTAAACTTGGACACATTTGAATGTGTCCAGATTCGTCGTGTCGTACAACGCCACCCCTGGACAACTTATAAACGTGTCCAGGTTCGTCGTTTGCGTGCAACGTTAAGCTTGGACACATTTGAATGTGTCCATGTTCGTCGTTGTCTGCTTTTATCGTTGTCTGATTGAGGCGGTGTCTGCTTTTAACGTAGTCCATGTTTAACGTTGCCCAACTTCGACATCGTCCCCAATCAAGTCTAGATTTGTATTTACCATACATTCTAACCACATATTTATTGATTTTTCTGATTACTCTGGGCAAACACTAGTGTACAGTCCCGGCCAAGTAAGAAAGGAAAAGGTCCAGGTATACCCTATCAGTATGCCTACAGACATATAGTATCAGGATAGGTATCAGTCCTAATCCGCTGTTGTCAAAACATAGCTATTGTAATGAAGCCAAGGGAGCGTGCAGCCCCGTCCCAACGGTCATTGTCACCTCCTCCCCGGTCTGACAAGGTCTACCTGGTACTTTTCTGTCCTTACATGGCCGGGACTGTACAGTCAGGTTATTTAAATTTTTCTTGACCTTAATTGTTTGAATTTTTCCTTATCCGTCAATTTACAGACTATCATACTATTGTATGTTAAGTAATGCTGATTTGAAAATGTTATGTGAATCGTATACTGAACTATTTAAACATTTAAGAGGGTTCCCTACCCCCACCGAAAAACGTCAGAAAACCGCTTCGCGCGGTATCATATAGCGATTCCAGTTTAAACATTTAAATTGTGAACCATACACCATTTTGTATATAAAGAGTGGTTCTACTAAGTTTGCTTTTTAAAAAATGTCTATGCTTACGCAATCAAGGGCAACGACTTGTCAAAGTTAGTGAACTTTACAGTTGAATAATAATATCTTTTTTGAAATTATTGATTTTTAATAAAGCAATATTAGTGCAAAATTTAACTAAAAATATCAAGTCACTTTTAGTTTCAAGAAAAGATTATTTTTTGTATGTGCAAAATGAAACCGCGTAAAACCTTGCACGGCGAAAAGTGCTATGATTCTGACGGACTCTAGCGGCGTTTATCGAAACTACTGTCTCGCGGAGGGATACCAATTTTACACATTCTTCATTCATAATATTTCCCCCAAGATTTATCCATGACACATAATAACATTATATTAATTATTATAAACCAGTTAAGCAGGATAAATAAATATAGCCAAGAACCTGTTGATAATATAAAAACGTTCAGCCATATAGGTTGTAGCATATTTGTTAAACGAAAACGTTTCAAATTAATATTTCATTTGAATAAATGAATCTTTCATCCAATTGATTTTTATCAAACCATTTTACATATTTAGTTACAAGAAATTAAAAAAAAATACCTCTAATTCTTACAGAAGACACCTGATGTCAACATCTACGTAAAGGAAGTTCATGTGTGATCCTCTTGAAAAATTTAACGCGCACGAAAAGTGATCTAAAACAGAATCAAAGAATTATTAACATGTATCCTAACTTGACAGGCACACACTTCTAATTACTAGTGTTAAAAGACTCTACTATTTTTGGTGGTCCCACTGTTATAAGATTATTAGTCATGTATATCCTGTATTTGTTTGGTATTCAAAAACATAGTTTTGAAAATTGACAATTTCAAAATGTTCTGTGATTAGGTTTGTTTGGTCTCAGTGGTCAACAGCTATTGATATCAGTCACTGATCCATAGAGGAGGGCACGACTCTTACTTGTTTTAAACTAAATGTTCTATCCATATCGTCTAACAGGTTATAGTCTTTATGTATAGTTTGGAATTTCGCTCCACCACTGGCCGGAAGAGTTTCCTTGAATCTTATGTGGGAAACAGATCAGCTCAATATGGAAAAAATGTAAAAAATGCTTAAGACCTCTTTTACAGTGTCCATGTATGTAATAAATTTTAACATTGATTTCTTTGTTTTAATTAGGATATTCACCTTTGAGATCAAGGAGCCAGACTTGGGGTAGGATACAGCTGCATTAGCAGACGCCATCGTGATATGCCTACAACAAAGTACATTTAGAAGTTTTTAGTACATTTAGTACATTTACGATTACCCCACTTACTAATAAATGCATTTCTTGTAAAATCAACTTAAAGTTTAGAATTTTATTTTCCATATATTCATTTACTATATATTGATTCTTCTGATTTTTCTGGGCCAACACCAGTGAATGGACAGGAAATTTTAATTTGTCATGATATCCATGTTAATTGTTAGTTTTCAATACCAAATAATGTGTTGATTTATTGTTTATATACTAAAGACAATTTTCCAAAACTACAGACTAAAACAGTATCAAATAATTAGGAAAAGATACCTATCTCAAATTGACAGGCACTTGCTTTCAATCGCCTGTGTGGAACGATGCAATCTGTTTTATGTTGTAGGCAGTTAAATGTGGAGAGCGTTTTAGTGAATAGTGACTAAGAATGGGGAATTCGGTTTTCACCTAAAACCTTTTTCATTGACATCCATGGTGGTAAATCTTCTTTCACAACATTTTGAATACTATGGAAACTTAAAGCTTTGCTTTGAACGGAAAAGAAAGACATTTTTATTTAAGTAAAGTTGGTTAAATCAAGGGTGTCTTTGAACCTTGTTTGAGAAACAGATCAGCTCAATGGGGCAAGTGGGCAAGAACCTATCTACCAAATAAGCTGATGACTTATTAATTATGTAGCTTAAGAAACCTTTTACAGTGTCAATGTACCTAACAGCTGTTGATTTGTTTGTTTCTATTAGGATACGGTATCAAACGTTTGCTACTCACCTGGCACCAAAGTGCTGAAGGAGATGGACGTAGTGAAGGCTACAGTTGCGTTGATTGTCAGACACCACAGTGATATGCCTGCAACAATGCACGTCCAGAGGTTAGACAAACAGCACACTTACTTTTATACTAAAATGTTGATTATTAGTTTATCTTTATGACTGATTTGTAATATACAAATAATTTTAAATATCATTAATAAAGTACAGTACCTCTACCGCAGCAAACCTGTAGACTAAGCCAATTTCCATTTACCTAGCTAGATGTTCACTAAAATATTAACTAAAAATTACCAGATTTCAAAAATTCGGACCTTTCAAATAACCTTATTACTAATGAGCACTTAGCTTTGCTGCTACAGGGAAGGTGTGTTTTTAATTGAATCGTGGATAGTTTAGTATGAAATACAAAAATTTGCCAAATTAAATTATATTAAAATATATCCATAAACATACAAACTACAGCAGTTTACTTTATTCTCCATAACAATGAGCATGGAAATGTTGAATTTACACTTTTTTACTTTCTCCATAAGGGTAAGGAGTAAAACAATGCTTAATGCACTTTTTTTAAACTCTATAAAATGATTTAGAAATAAATTGCTGAATTGTTCATTTTTAGGGTAAAAATGGGAATAACCTATCTTAATCCCATAAAACGGCCCATAAATTCCTGTTCCCATAGTCAGATCATACTGGTTTGTAACCTTGTTTGAATAAACATGTTTAAACGATATGTTTAATTGTTTGTACCTAATTATGGAAGTATCCCATCATTTTTGGTTAAGCTATCCCACTAACAGCATATATATAGATAAATTTGAACAGATGGCGTTTTTGGCCTCTGAGGACCTCAAACCAAGAAATTAAATCAGTCCTGGGTAATGGTCTTACCATGACACCTAGGTTAAGGTTATAGCTCATTTTCTATAATGGAAAATTCCCCGAAATCAAACAAAATTACCTTAGCATATATAAGAAGAGGTAGAGCTCACATCGCCTATAGGAAGTTCTAAGATGTCAGGAAGCTGATTCAACAAATTCCCCTGGTCAGACTAGTCGCTCACTACAATTGTGAAATCTAAAACAGAGTCTAAAAAGACAGTTTTTAGTAGAGGGCAAGGTATATCAACTGAAAAAGATCCTACAAGTAATTGTTTTTGTTCCTGTACTATGTATGTTTTGTACTTTGTATTCATGCCTAGTTTTGTTGATAAATATTTGGTCTACACTCAACTAGTGTTTGCTGCAAGCTACTCTCCTGAAGGATTTGGCTCAGAAGAGTCATGGAGGAACAACGAGAGGCACTGTGTTTGTATAAACGCAAGTACCGTAGTAAAATATGATCAGTTGCATACTATGAACTTCAATTCTGTCCCTTAATGTTTTCACTTTATATATAATATTTTCTTCAATAGTTTCAAATGTAATTGAGTAATAATATATCATGGTAAACACTTGGAACTTGTGTTTACTGCAGAGTACTATCCTGAAAAATTTGGCTCAGAAGAGTTATGAATGAACAACAAGAGGTGTCCGATACCTTCTCAACTCTGAAATGATCAGACTTTAAAGACTGCAATAAATGTAGTGCTTGGAATCAGCCGGATTACAGGTCTTCGGTTCCCCCGTAACAAATCCACAAGCATGCGTGTTAACGTTTGATAGGACAGGACCCAGAAAACTTGCAAAGTGCTAAATCAAAGAACTACATGAATAACAGTCCCGTGTGTCGGCCCGTCCCAGGGAAAAGAAGGAATTGTTGACCACTAGTAGTATTTCATAACTTTTCCAGGCCAAAATACTCCAACTTATCAATTTTTCTCTACTATTGAACAAATGTGTTGCTCATCATAAACTTGTGTAGTAAAGTATGGTCAACTATATACTTTGTAAAACTGCAGCATATCCCAATCCCATGTGTCGGGCTGTTTCTAGCCCGACATTTGTTCAAACATTGTGGTAATAAAAACCAGTGCTGGTTAACCTGTATTTCTTCAGTAAAAGTGCTGAGATTCAATTCAAAGGATGATTGTCAAACACCCACCCTAAATAACAACAATGGTCCTACCTTAGTACAGACGGTAACCAAAAACCTGCAAACAGGGGAATCCAGCAGATTGCTGCTTCCTTCTCACTATCGAGTATTGAATCACCTTAGTGTTACAATGATATGGTTGATCCTCTGTTATGTTCCATAACTCATCCAGGCCGAGGTAACAACATTGATTGATCTGCAACAAACCAAGTTTTTAACTATTACATCAAAATAATTTACATACTCAAATTAATGTTGTGATTACAAAAGTAGTAATTACTTATGTAATACTACACTGTTACACTGAAAAAAACTTTTGTGAAATTCATTATTGCTATAAGTATATGGAAAAGGTGTGACCGTAATTAAAAAAATTGAGCAGGGGGCAAATACACTTTTTCCCAGTAAGATGAACTATATTTTCCATCACATGCAATATAGTTTAACAAGCTAAGTTAAAAAACAAATACATATTTTATGTAAGATCTCTCAAATTCTCAAAATAACTTCCAAAAGGTTTCCAGTACTGCTAATGCAAATAAGTAGTTGTTTAATAAGTGATTCAATAAATCTGTATATTACGGTTATGTACATTATACTGTGTATATGTCAAACTATTAACATGAATGCAACAATAAGCTATAATTTGCTGATTTTGCAAAAGTATGACAAAAAGAATACTGTATTATGTTTTAGGAAGAAGGTCTATGAAACAACCATTGATTCATTTGTTTCTATTATGTTATCAAACATAGGATATTCACCTGCGACTTAAGTGTTGGAGGAGGTTGACATAGTGCAGGCTACAGTTGCATTACTTCCCTCGATAAACTTTTGCTACGATTGACTGTCACCTCAGTGATATGACTGCAACAAGGAATGTCAAAATGTTAGACGTACAACATACTTACTATTAAATAATTATACTACTATTAATGCTATTACTTCAATTCAAATGGCTCTGTCGTTGGTATGTACATATAAATAAATAAATAAATTCTTTGATATCAAACCAAACAAGTCTAGAGTGTCCTTTCTCTTGTTGTTGAAAAAAAAGTATAAAAACATTTTTGCAATATTGAAGACAATTTTGTTAAAAATTACTATAATATTGCTTAATTGTTCATCATAACTAAACATTGATATTATATTTTATTTAATTATTTAAAAAATCAAACAAAATTACCTTAGCACTTATTGCAAGAGGTGGAGCTTATGTGATCTTCGTGTAGAAAGTTCCAAGATATCAGAAAGAACTATACGAATTTCCATTGATAGATAAGTCGCTCAATACAATTTGAAAATCTAAAACAAAGTCTAAAAAGACAAGATTTAGAAGAGGACAAGAGTTATATTAATTACACTATAACCTATAAGAGTAATTATTTTGTTCCTTTATTCATACTGTATTTAGTTTTGTTGGATAACTTTTTGTCTCTACTCTACTAGTGTTTGCTGTAGATTTCTCTACTAAAAATTTGGCTCAGAAGATATGAGTTCCAAAATTTTTCTTTCACTATGATTTCACATTTTTTGTGATTTTTTCCAGACTATTTCCATATGTAATAGAGTAGTAATATAAAATGGTAATACTTGGAACTTGTGTTTGCTAGAGATTCATCACCTGAAAATTTGGCTGAGAAGAGTTATGAAGGAACAACAAGAGGTGTACGATACCTTCTGAACTCTGAGATGAACTGATTTTAGAGTCTGAAATAAATGTAGTGCTAGGAGTCTGCAAGATTACAGGTCATCGGTTCCCCTCGTAACAAATCCACAAGCATGCACGTTAAAGTTTGATAGGACAGGACCCAGAAAACTTGCAAACTGCAGAATCATAGAACTGCATAAATAACAGTCCCGTGTATCGGTCCGTTCCAGGGTAGACAAGGCTATAAATGCAAGCTATAAATACGCCAAGCAATAACAGGCAAGCAATATATACATGCAAAAAAAAACAGGCAATATATACATGCAAAATATAACAAGCAATATATACATGCAATAAATGGACACAAACACACGGTGCTCAAGACCTTCTGAACTCTGAGATGAACTGACTTTAGAGTCTGAAATAAATGTAGTGCTACGAGTCCACAAGATTACAGGTCATCGGTTCCCCTCGTAACAAATCCACAAGCATGCACGTTAAAGTTTGATAGGACAGGACCCAGAAAACTTGCAAACTGCAGAATCATAGAACTGCATAAATAACAGTCCCGTGTATCGGTCCGTTCCAGGGTAGACAAGGCTATAAATGCAAGCTATAAATACGGCAAGCTACAGGCAAGCAATATGTACATGCAAAAAAAAATAGGCAATAACATGCAATAAATAAATACAGACAATAATACAGGACACAAACACACGGTGCTCAAGACCTTCTGAACTCTGGGATGAACTGACTTTAGAGTCTGAAATAAATGTAGTGCTACGAGTCCACAAGATTACAGGTCATCGGTTCCCCTCGTAACAAATCCACAAGCATGCACGTTAAAGTTTGATAGGACAGGACCCAGAAAACTTGCAAACTGCAGAATCATAGAACTGCATGAATAACAGTCCCGTGTATCGGTCCGTTCCAGGGTAGACAAGGCTATAAATGCAAGCTATAAATACGGCAAGCAATATATACATGCAAAAAAAAACAGGCAATATATACATGCAATAAATGGACACAAACACACGGTGCTCAAGACCTTCTGAACTCTGAGATGAACTGACTTTAGAGTCTGAAATAAATGTAGTGCTACGAGTCCAAAAGATTACAGGTCATCGGTTCCCCTCGTAACAAATCCACAAGCATGCACGTTAAAGTTTGATAGGACAGGACCCAGAAAACTTGCAAACTGCAGAATCATAGAACTGCATAAATAACAGTCCCGTGTATCGGTCCGTTCCAGGGTAGACAAGGCTATAAATGCAAGCTATAAATACGGCAAGCTACAGGCAAGCAATATGTACATGCAAAAAAAAACAGGCAATAACATGCAATAAATAAATACAGACAATAATACAGGACACAAACACACGGTGCTCAAGACCTTCTGAACTCTGGGATGAACTGACTTTAGAGTCTGAAATAAATGTAGTGCTACGAGTCCTCAAGATTACAGGTCATCGGTTCCCCTCGTAACAAATCCACACGCATGCACGTTAATGTTTGATAGGACAGGACCCAGAAAACTTGCAAACTGCAGAATCATAGAACTGCATAAATCACAGTCCCGTGTATCGGTCCGTTCCAGGGTAAATAAGGAATTGTTGACTACTTGTCGTATTTCATAACCTTTCCAGGCCAAAGTACCCCTTGATTTCTTCGTAGTTCATATCACCACTATATGTGTTTTCAACTTTGATAACTGCTATTGCAATTCTTTTTAGCCATTATGTCAAACAACCAGTTCTAATTGACCGGTATTTCTTCTGTGTTTCTAAGAATCAATCTTAAGGGTGATTGCCAAAGACATACCCTATATAAATAAAAGTAATACTAGTACGACAGTAACCAAAAACCTGCAAAAAGGGGAATCCAGATTGCTGCTTCCTTCACACTATCGATTGTTGAATCCCCTTAGTGTTACAGTTGATCTTTATTTACGGTTCACAACTCGTCCAGGTCAAGGTAGGTAACAACAGTGAGCTAT